TTAGGGTTTATAGGGTTTAGGGTTTAGGGTTTATAGGGTTTAGGGTTTAGGGTTATAGGGTTTAGGGTTTAGGGTTTAAGGGTTTAGGGTTATAGGGTTTAGGGTTTAGGGTTTATAGGTTTAGGGTTTATAGGGTTTAGGGTTAGGGTTTAGGGTTTAGGGTTTAGGGTTATAGGGTTTAGGGGGTTTAGGGTTTAGGGTTTAGGGTTATAGGGTTTTAGGGTTTAGGGTTTATAGGGTTTAGGGTTTAGGGTTTATAGGGTTTAGGGTTTTATAGGGTTTAGGGTTTAGGGTTTAGGGTTTATAGGGTTTCGGGTTTAGGGTTTAGGGTTTATAGGGTTTAGGGTTTAGGGTTTATATGGTTTAGGGTTTAGGGTTTATAGGGTTTAGGGTTTATGGGGTTTAGGGTTTATAGGGTTTAGGGTTTAGGGTTTATAGGGTTTAGGGTTTAGGGTTTATAGGGTTTAGGGTTTAGGGTTTAGGGTTCATAGGGTTTAGGGTTTAGGGTTTATAGGGTTTAGGGTTTAGGGTTTATAGGGTTTAGGGTTTATGGGGTTTAGGGGTTTCGGGTTTAAGGGTTTAGGGTTTAGGGGTTTAGGGTTTAGGGGTTTAGGGTTTAGGGTTTCGGAGTCCACGACCCAAAATTTACGGCAAAGGGGTGCAGGGATGTAGGGTTGTTCTGTTTCGGGCTTGCAAGAAACGAATGCAAGCATCGAGGACGACCGTTCGAAGAGTAACCACAGCAAGACGAGTAAGGAGCAGGTTAGGCTCAGACTTTCTGGGTTTAGGGTCTAGGGGAGCAAGTGAATGTTAGTCCGAGCCAGGATCTGCAGAGAGCATAAGAAGCATTGAGAAGCATTCGGGTGTGCAAGAGGGAAAGCTGGTTACAAAAGGCATACCTTGTAGTGGGACGATCACCATAAACTAAGAAGTCCGCGCGACGCAAGCATGATTTACGCAGCCTGAACCGACATGTGCCTCCGACGAGAGACATGCGCTAATGGAAGCAGACGTCGACAGCAAGTTGCCTTGATTCCAACCCTAAACCCAAGACCAAACCCAAGCCCTGAACCCGAATCCAAAACCCTAAAAACCCGAAGCCCTAAGATGCTTCACCCTGCAAACTCCTACATAAATGCCCTGGAGCTCCTATACCCTAAGCAGGAAAGCGAAAACCCTAATTTCTATCCCCTGAGCCCTTACAAGCTCCTCCAGACCCTACACCGAAAGCCCAAAGCCTTAAAGCACCAACACCCTCAACCGTCAAGGGCATCTACACCAGTTCATCCAAGTAGATCCCTCAACGCTTAGCAGTATAAGTTCCCAAATTAGGGGTTATTTTTTCTGGATTCGCCTTGGGGTCTGGCTTTCCAGGTGATCCTGAAGAAACTACGGTCCCTAAACCCTAAACCCCCGATATCCTTCTAGGGATCCGTATAGATCCCTTTAAGGAGCCCCTTAATTAGCCAGGTGATCTTGTAGTAACCCCAAACCCGCAGGCCCCTACAGAAACCCGTATAGACCCCTATTAAAGCAACAGCCCAAAAACCTTTTAAGGAAAAGTGGGCCAGGTGATCCTTATAGGAGCCTTCATAGTACCTTATAGAGACCCTTATAGAAACCCTTATGGAACCCTTTAAGGAACCCTTTCAGGTTACTAAGTCCCGTGATCCTCTAAGTAGGAGTCTCCAAGCGGGCCAGGTGATCCTGTGGTAACTAGGGTAGTATAAGTCTCATGATCCTACTTACTAAGTCCTCCAAGTGGGCCCTAAACCCTAAACCCTAAACCCTAAACCCCTAAACCCCTAAACCCTAAACCCTAAACCCTAAACGCAGGTGATCCTGTAGATGCAGCCGGGCACCTCAAACGAGCAGCTGCCCAGCGCAAAGAAGATTCTTGATGTCTCTCGGCTGAAGGCTTTTAGGGTTTAGGGGCCTTCATAATTAGAATAGGCTTTTTGGGCTTCGTTATAATTATAGTATAATCTACCTATATGCGGGGCTTCGGGTTTAGGGTTTAACGGTTTGGGAACTGTATGGTTTGAGGGCTTTAGGGTTTAAGAGTTCAAGGGTTTGGGAAGTTTAGTTTAGGGCCTATGAAGGTGTCCGTCAAATGATCTATATGGCGATTCACTAGGGATCTATTATAAGGGATCTACTAAAAGGCTGTATGGGCGATCTATAGTGTCCATGGTGGATCTTTAAAGGGCTTTGGGGTGCATGTATTAGGGCGTGAGGCACTAGAGTTCAGGGTGGGCTGTAGGAAATCCGGGCGTGTCACTGCCGACACTGAAAACGTTCTTGTCCCGGTTGGGAGCTGACGATTGAAGAGTAGGGGGGCCTTTGACTAGGGACTTAAGAGTAGTATTTTCTAGTCTAGTTACATATGGACTACCTGGCGACATTACCACCAAATTATTCGGATCCCGTTCATAAATACCTGCTATCAGCTGCAGTCTTGCTCAAGACACCCAGTTTCTGTATGTTTCTGTGATTGCCGCCGCCAGGATCGCAATCTGGTGAAGAGCTTGCGCTATGACTCGCAGTTTTACAAGACTGCTGCCCCCGGGGCAGGGAGGTTGCTGATGGTTGCCTGGGTTCTTGTTACGGAATATTCCTAGGGGTACTTAGAAATCATATTTCATTTTTGGTTATAATCCCTAAGAATCAGCTAAAATTATGATTTTTGCTAGGGTTCTAAGTTCAGTATAGTCGAGTTACCATAGGGATCTATAGATAATAGTACGGCTTCTTTATCGTGGTAACTTAAATTAAATCGCTTAACAAGGAACCCAGTTGCTGTGACGGTGTCTTACCACAGCTTTGGAATGCAGTTGATCCTACTTCCCTGGCAAGCTTTTATTGCCCCGTGCCCTACGGTTGATGATATAAATCCTGCATTACCCAGAATAAGGAATAGGCCATAATTCCCATAGTGTACCTCAAGGTAATGCAAGATTTGTATCATCAACCGTAGGTCCTAAACCTCAAGCCCTAAATCTGCATCTGAAGCCTAAACCCTCCACCCGAAGCCTCAACGCCCTGAGCCCTAAACCCTAACCGACCGAAACAGGCCCGAGACAATACACCCCAGACCCAAAATAAAATCCTAGACCCTAAATCCCTGGAATCATAAAACCCTGGACCCTAGACCCTTATGGTATCACAAACCCCTAAACCCTAAACCTTAAGACCCCAAACCGCCATAGAATCCTCCTCGTCGCAGCTGCTTGCCAGCCTTCTGGCTGCGCACAGGGGGTGTCATGTGCGCCATGAGATGCTTGCAGCATACATGCGGGAACTGCTCAAAAGACATTCAGAAAGCGCCAAGATCTAATACCGACGCTGGGGGCTTTCAGGCCTTTAGGTCCTCTGGGTGCCTGGGCTTCAGGGTTCAGGTCAGGTTTATACACGTTGCACGCCTCACAAAAGGGGAGCCAACCCCATCCAGACGATGTTCTGGCGAATAGTGGGCCTCTCCATCGCCGCGAGCTGAGGGGAAGCAGGGGGGCAAAGACTCACAAACTCTCCACGACTTTTCCATGTGGAATCCCTTGTTCCGGAATTTGTTAACAGCTTCAGTCTTCCCTAAACCCTTTAGCCCTAAACCCCAAAGCCCTGAACCCCAAACCCTAAACGCCCAAAGGTGAACCCTAAATCCGTTGCTCAAACGGAGGATCAGGGGACTTAGCAAGCAAGGCTATGACTACCTCAGGTAGAGCGATAAGTAACTGTTATAAGCACAGTTAACTTACATATGACCCTAGTAAGTCCCATCATCCTTACATAGCGAGCCCCACCAGAACCCTGTACCATTATAGATCCCTTACTGCGGTAGGACGACAGTTTGACCTACTCCTTGTTTCGTGGAATACAGGCCCCCATTCCCCCATGGACGAACCGGCTACTCCTCCGGAACAATTAAAGTAGTAGAATGTCAAAACGGAGTATAAAATACTCCGCTGGCCAGGCCACGTAAAGCGCACTTTTCGGTACTCCGCTAATCGGCAAGACGTCTTCAGTCAAGACAGATCCAATGGGTCAAAACTTTTATCCTCCCGATGCCTCACCGGGACCTTTCTGTTCAGCAAATCTCGCCAAACTTGTTGCTGTGTGACCTCATGACCTCCATGTCCCCTGGACAGACATCCCCGTCAAAGAAACGATTCAGAAGGCATCCCCGGCCCGAGAGTTTTGAGCTACCGGGCCTTTCATCATTATACAGACTGTTGCGGAGTAGCGGAATGCTTCAAAGTAACGACTTCCCTACGCAGGCCAGCGGAGTAATTACTACGCAGTTTCAAAATACTAACACTTATTCATTGCCCCACGGCTCGCTTGTGTCAGGAGTCTGGGGGGAAGAGGGCGCGGGGGTTGGGTCAACTTCGTTGTTTAAGCTAGTGGGTCGAACTATCGGCCCGGCGCGGCCTCCATTTTCGAGGCAAGAGACCCCTCCTTTGCAGTCCTGGTGAGAGTTAAGCCCCCGAACAATTTCACCCTGGATTTGTTTGGGTTGGACTCTGCATCCAAAATTGACGCTGCGGTAGGACGAAAGTTTGACCTACTCCTTATTTCGTCGAACACAGGCCCCCATTCCCCCATAGAATCCTAACAAGCAGGATGAACCGGCTACTCCTCCGGAACAATTAAGTAGTAGAATTTTAAAACGGAATACAAAAATACTCCGCTGGCCAGGCCACGTAAAGCGCACTTTTCGGTACTCCTAAAACTCCGCAAGACGTCTTCAGACAAGACAGATCCAATAGGTCAAAACTTTTATCTTCCCGATGTATTATAGACACCCTTTGAGGAGCCTTTTAAAGTTACTACGTCCCGTGATCCTCCAAGTAGGATTCTGCAAGTGGGCCAGGTGATCCTTTGGTAACTAGGGTAGTATAAGTCCCATGATCCTCCCTCCGTATAGAAGCCCTTCGATTTATAGGAATTTTTATAGGAAGCCTACTTACTAAGTCCTCCAAGTGAACGCTGCCGGGCCCGAGGTCGCACTATGGGTGCTTACAGGACTTCCCGCGACGCTTCCTCCCAGGTAGACACGGTATAGGTGTTTGGAGGTTTAGGGGCTTAGGGTTTAGGGGTTCAGGGTTTAGGGGTTAAGGGGTTTAGGGTTTAGGGGTGTCGGGCTTGGGGTTTAGGGTGAGAGCTCGACAGAAAGCGCAGCACACTTAATCGAAACTCAAAGGTTCCGATGCCACCACTGAAAAGATCTGTAGTCAGTCATGCCTGTTTGCCTCCAACATCTACTACTTTTTGGTCTTCCACTATCTGATGGCAGGAGCTGTATTTTACTACCTTATTGACAACTGCCGCACCGTGGACGGCCGCTCGATGCAATGAAGACATTCACACAGCTGCCATACACCCTAAACCCTTCAACCCTACACAGACCCGAAATCTCAAAGCTTGAAACCCTGAACCTTGTACCCTGAATCGTTACAACCCTGAACCTTGAACCCCTAAGCCAAAGCCGTAAAACCCTAAACCCTAAACCTGAAATCTGAATTCTGACACCCCAAAACACCCTAAGAATCCTATAGGCCCCAAACTACAGTTGATCCTCTGTTGCCCAGAGACTCCAAGACCCGTAAATTACGGAATATACCTCAAATCATATTCGGGATCCTAGTATAATTTGAGTGAGGTTTCTTGCTTAACTTTAGAATCACCGGGCTCGACTCGCAATCCAATTTCTGTGTTTAGGATTGGGCGAGGACCTTAGGACCCACAGCTTTACGGCGTGGCGAAGGATCCAAAAAGTTAAACTTTAGGCAGGACACAAAAGGAGATCCAAAACAGTAAACCCTACCCCTCGATTCTTACAGCACGAAAAAGATACCCTGATTATATTAGCGTCGACTAGAATGTAGTAAACTATACTGGAATACACTAGAGTCCATTTGAGTATGTGAATTAATATTAATATACATATTCGGAAATCTTATATCTTATCCTGTATTATAACATGTTATAGTAGAATATATTGCGTCTATATATATATATATATATATATATATATATATATATATATATATATAAAGTATTGTAATGCTACATCATGTTATCGTATACTTTTTTATATCAGAGTATAGCATATTACATCATGGTATTTTATGATAATATTTCCTGAGGCCAGGAAGTCTGCGGTTGGACCTTTGCAGAAAGCTTCTACTATTCTGCTGCGGCCTCGGGGAACTTGAGAAGATGGGACCCAAATGACCTAGTAACTTGTAGGGTTTAGGGTTTAGGGTTTAGGGTTTAGGGTTCCTTAAAAGGGGCTGCCTGGTAACTAGTAGGGATTTCGGGTTCCTTACATGGGTTGAGGGTCTAGGATCATGGGGCCAATTGGACCTACGGTTTGGACCTACGGTTGATGATATAACATCTACCGTGGTAACTAGTAGGGATTTAAGGGTTCCTTGCGGACCATGAGAACTTTCGGGTCTTCGGGGGTTTGGCAGGGCAGCGCTTTGCAGGGTTTTGTTCGCAGTGTCGCCAGACCTTCCAAAAGCCCCTTAATTGAGACATGTACCCCTAAGGGTTCCTTAAAGGGATCTATAAGGGTTCTATCAAGGAATTGCGGAATATACTTTAAATGATCGTAGGATCCCTAATATGATGTAAGGTGTAGTGTATCTCTTGATCAAGGGATTTGGAAGGTCTGGAGAGATCAGCCTCTTTGCGATTCCAGTTGATCGTAGTGTAGAAGCTTGAATAAACACCAGTACTACTCATGAGGGTTCCTAGTGTGGTCCTAGCATAATTGACCCCCAAACCCTATCCCAACTATCCAGGCCCCTATATTAGCCAAGAGATGCATGCGCTGCGACAAACCATAATTAGTTTTGTTGTTCGTAGACGAAGGATAGTAAGAACAAGGTTCCCGGTCGTCCTTTTTCAAGGCTATGGTAAGTATATACAAGCAGTCTTGTGCTTGTTTAGCTATACAGAGAGAGTTCCCTATACCTGTGATAATTTTGCAGTCCTTGCTGCGGTTGTGGTATAATGTAGCCCGAAACACCATTCCAATCATGAAGGCTTCTATTCTAAACCGCTCTCGCAACCCTGATAGAGCCACTTACGGAATCCGAGTTTAGTCTTTACGGCCCCATATTACGCTCCGCAAGTTCCCGGTACGAAGGTCACCACCCTGAAGACTCCCCCGGAGCTTGCGGACGTGTTTAAAGGGAACTCCAGAAAGTTGGAACATGGCCAAACCCCTAAAACCCTAAACCCCTAAACCCTAAACCCCAAGCCCAAAGAGACCTATAGGGAACTCCAGAAAGTTGGAATATGGAATAATGGCAGGATCCCCTATAATTTACCTTAAAGGGATTATGATAATGATATTCCAACTTTCCGGCTTCTACTGTAGGGTGTAGGAACCCTGTGGGAACCCTTGAAGGATCCCCACAACACAAGATGTCAACACCCAGCTCAGCTTTATGAGCTCGAACCCCGTCCGTTCCTGATAGGAGCTTGAAGAAATGGGAACCTTTTTGGGTTTAAAAGGGTTTGGGGCTTAGGTTTGAGGGTCTGAGGGCCCTCTTCTAGACCCCCATCAGATAGTAGGGGTGCTGAGGGTATGGACTTTCATAATATGATTTTGAGAACCTACGTACAAAAAATGCGAAAGATCCTATTGTCGAAACTCATAACATTTTCAAACCTCAGCCCGCAAACCCTAAACTCTAAACCTTAAACACTAGGCACCATAGGCCCTCAAACGCAAAACCCGAAACCCTTGTGGCTCAGGTGCAGTGCGGGCTGTCTATTGGCTTCGGCCTCCTTTCCGAGACCAAGGATGGGAGATAAGAGAGTCGCGGGATGTTTGGGGCTTCATGCAGGGCCGCCCCAACAACCTAAGCCCTAAACCTGACCCTAAGCCCACAAGGCATCTCAATGAACTCTGGTCGTTATGGGCCCTGTGTTACATGGGCTCGAGGTTTGTTTAGAGGTTTCTGTAGGCCTCAGCAAGAGGTCGCCATGGAGAATCTATAAGGAACAGGGATAAAAAGATTTCGGTGCTTGGGCGATACCGGCGCTCACGCACTTTTAGAGGTTCTGTAGGGTTCAAAAAATACGCCACTCGCACACGTGGTCATCAGCATCGGCCGTGCCATCGTCATCGTGCTCGCCGTGAAGGGTTTAGGGTTTAGGGTTCAGTGTTTGGAGATTTTTCTTTCCGCACATTGAATTGTCACAATGTCTGGTCGGCACCCCGCGAGGAACGCCCAGGAACAGGCCAATGTTTGACCTGTCAACGCCTTGCGGGTCTCTGTTGACTCGGGTTAAAGTCCTGCGACTTTCCGTGCCATCTGCCACGAACTGCGGCTTGAATACCCTAAACCCTAAACCCCAGCCTCCGCACCTACACCACCAGGCTGGGGGCTAGCCTGTCGAAGGGAGGGCGGCGTTGGGTTCCGAAAGTTGCTTCGCTTAAGCCTGAGACGACGTCCTTGCTGGATGAAGCATGTGTTGCCCCCCGAATCCTAAACCCTAAATCCTACACCCAAAGCCCTAAACCTTAAACTTAAAACCCTAAACCCTGAATCCTAGACTTTAAACCCTATAGATCCCTCAAAGGAGCCGTTAAAGGAACCATAAACCCACAAACCCTAAACTCAAAACCTGAAGCCCTAAACGCAGGAAGCGAGCCACTTGGATATAGTCGGATCCCCTAACCCTTATAGCAACCCTAAACCCTAAACCCCTCAAGCAACCCTTTAAAGGACCCTAAGATACCTTATAGTAACCTCATAGGAGCCCATATAGTACCAATAGCAACCCTAAACCCTAAACCCTGGAACCCTTTAAAGCATCCTAAAGTGCCCTTGATAGGAACCCTTATAGTACCCTTATAGCAACCCTTTAAAGGACCCTAAGGACCCTTAAACGTAGGAAGCGAGCCGCTTCTATTCCATCATCCACATCCTGGCGGGTAGCTCTGTGATCGCTGGCCGTGCCCCTGGAAGAGCGTGGAGGGCTCTACGATATGATTGCTCCCTAGGGTTCCTTTGAGGGTTCCTTTAAGGGGTTTGGGTGTTTGAGGTCTTGGGGCTTTAGGGTTAGGGATTAGGGATTAAAGGTTTTTATTCGTGGTTAGGGTTCCGGGTTTGGCGGTTCAGGGTTCAGGTTAAGAGATTGCACTCGCCGCACAGTTTAGGGTTTAGGTTTTAGGGTTTAAGGTGCAGTGTGCCACGAGATAGTGCTATACATATGCTCTAGCAGAGTGTGGCGTGGCCTTAAAGCTCTGCACATTCCACCGTCGTCTTGTCGAGCCTGTAAGGGTATCGTAACCGTAAAAACAGGGCCTTGCTGCTAGCTAGGGCTTGGGGGTGCATGTCAGTACATCTATACTAGAATTACTAGAAGCTTTAAGAAATTGACTTGGCAATTACCCAGGCCCCTACGTCATAGAACATGCATAAATTCCTTATGGACTTCTTGAAAGGAACCTTGAAAGGAACCCTTAAAGGGACCTTTTTACACAACCCTACAGTACCCTTAAAGGGGACCCTATTGTAGAATTCGAATTTAAATCCCCATTGAATCTGAAATTCCGCCTTATTCATTGGAACCCTGTAGTACCCCTTTAAAGGAAGCCGAAACGGTTTCGGCTGTGATGGGCTTTGCCGAGGCTGCCTCAGTTGGTTTGCTTCGCGAACCCTGGAGCGGCATATGTCTGGGGCCCGACTTCTGCGTGTTCCTCTTTAGGGTTTAAAATTTAGGAATCATTATTGATCTTTTTGCTACGATGCTTCAATCTGAGGGATGATGGTGGGTAGGGGCATTTTGAAGAAGGAGTCCTTAAAGAAAGGACCCTAGTCCGTTCATTTTGGGATTTTAGGGTTTAGGGTTAAGGGCTTCCGTTCCGCGAGCCTGAAATCTCACCACTTGACGCGTTCTGGAGAGCCCGTTCCTGGCAACTGTGTAGTCTTTCTTCTACTAAACCCTAATCCCTTTGGTTATAGAACCTTTAGATTTGCTAGCACAAGTATAGTAACCCCTTATAGCGCACCAAAATGGTCCCTTCCAGTACCATATGGAGATTTTTCGCGCTCTTTTATTGAGCTTCGGGTCTTAGAGTGCGCTTTGAAGATATGTTGCCCAGAGAGCGCATCACCCCTTAATCGAGAGATCCACCTTAAATCATAATGCTAAGCCCCTGTAAAGCCCGTATGAAACTTTATACAACCATCTCTTCCCTACTTTGACGGGTGTTGGTCTCTCTGGTTGAGGAAGTCCCTTGACATCCGAAATCCGAGACTCTGAACCCTAGAACCACAAACCCCTGACCCTGAACCCCAAACACGAAGCCTCAAGCCCTAGCCGCCCCAACCCTTAAGCCTTAAGGCAGTCTCCCCAACCCTGAAACCTTAAACCCTGAACCCGAAACCCGAAGCCTCAAACCCTAAACAGAAAACCCCAAGCTCAAACCCCCCCGAAGCTCTTGAGGAAGTCTCTCAACGACCATGAGTCAAAGCTTGTCCGGCGCTCAGTGAAAAGCGGTGGCGCTCAGTGTCGCTCAGGGCGGTTTCAAGTTTCCGATTTAAAGGGCTTGTGAGGTTAGCAAAGCTTGTAGGGTTTGAAGAGGTTATAAGGCTTCATAGGGTTTATTTAGGGTTTGTAGGATTTAAAAGGTTAATAGGGTTTGGAAGGTTTGTAGGTTCAGCAGGTTGATGGGGTGTATCGGGCTTACAAGGTTTATGTGGCTTGGAGGGCTTGTAGGGTTTATAGGTCTTGTAGCGTTTATCTATAAGGTCTAGGAGTGTTGAATTTGCTGCACTACGCTTGAGGCCCGGTTCGCCCATGCATGTCACACAGACGGCTACGAGGGCTTCAACATGCTGGAGATGAGGTGCTGCCCCTTCAGGGATTAAGGGTTGAAGGTTTCGGGTTCAGGGTTCAGGGTTGGGGATTTAAGATTTAGGGCTCATGGTGTATACTTGGAGGGTCGGGGGACCCGGATGTATAGCGGGTCCATACAGGTTACACAGGCCTGTAGGGCTTTGATGACTTAGTATGTAAGGGTTAGAAGTGCTCATTTATGGTTACGCGAAAATTTAAATCTAGGTACCTTATGTATAAACGTCGTTGCGAAATCCCATTACCCTTTTAGTAGGAACTTGGCTATGGAAACCCGCGAGAATACCCATAGCAATAGGCGGCAAGAATGGTAAGAACCACTGAAGCCCCTGGTAGTAATCTTCAAACCCTGACAAGATTTACAGGTAACTTAGAGAAGCGCTTGAACCCTAAATCCAAGTTGAATCCACATCAAGACGCCAGATGCGGCCAGGGACCTCCTCGTGAAGTATCCCCAGTTCATGGCGGACTTCGTGTACAAAATAGCTTCTCGACTGAGTTCAGGGTTTAGGGTTCGCTGCGAGTTGGTTTGGGTAGCCACCTTTTGGGCAATGTTGCGTCGGCCCCGAAGTGTTGAGGGGATGCAGCTGAGATGGACAGCTAAGTCCGCAGCAGTACCGCTTCGCAAAAGGGCCCTAAAGCCTAAACCCGAAAGCGTAATCACTCTAACCACCCTAATTACCCTAGTCACGCTGAGCCCGAAACCCTCAAGCCGCAAACTCCGAATGAAGCCCTAAACCCCAAGCCCTCAATTCCCAAAGCGGACAACCAGTTTCCAAGCCCCTAAACCCCTAAACCCTAAAATCTAATCCTCAAACCTTCAACGCTAAACCCTATACCGTCAACTGCCCCAAGGAGCAGGATCATGACAAGGTCACTGAGATCATGGAGAAGTTTGAAACCGCGCCGAAGGGAGAACCCTGGACTCATGTCTGGGGCTGGTACCCTGATACTTAGAGGATCATGGGCCTTAGTAAGTAGGTTATAACTGGGGTTATAAGTCCCCTGAGTGGGGTTATCCTAATTATAACCTACTTATAACCTTACTTACTAAGTCCCATGAGCCTCCAAGTATAGGAACCTGATTAAGAAACCCTGAGACTTGATTAGGGTTCCTTTAAAGGGGGCTACAAGGGTTACTACGAAGGATGCATAAGGGATCTATACGGGTACTATAACCATGTAGGAAGCTGATTGAGAAGCCTTGCGCCTTTATTAGGGCTCCTTAATTGACCCCTTTTTTGGGGGTTATAGGCCCATGGTTTCTTAAAGTCAGGTTCCTACATGATGCCTTGAGTTCAGGGGTGTGAGGTTGAGGGGTTTAGGGTTTAGGGTTCTTATGGGGTTTAGTTTCGGGCCTATGGGATTTTGGGGGTTGGGGATTGTAAATAGGGTTTAGGGGCTTTAGAGGTTTGGGTACTACGGGTTTAGGGTTCGGGGTTTGGGTTTACAAGATTGGTTTTGTCTATTCGTGCTTTGTTTTTGGGATACCAGCAATCAACTGCCTACTACATGCACCTGCATAATTGCCGATACTATCCCTTCGGGTCCCTGTGTTGTAGCATCACTCGAAACCCTTCTGAATGTAAGGCTCCGATATTACTACATCTGGCTAAAGCTTCCACGTCCTCCCCACAAGCCCTAGGACCTAAACCCTAAACTTCCAAGCTTCCTCCTCTACCGCCGTCCTCTGAAGCATAGCTCTGCAAGCTAGGGTCTTCAAGAGCGGATGCCCCGTGACGACGGGACCGTACAAAAAGACCCCTCGCAGCACCCCTTGCGGTCAAGGGTTTTAGGGTTTAGGGCTTCGGGTTTTAGGTTTCAGGGTTTTGGGTTTCTTATACGACGTGCACCCTTGAAGGAGCCCTGAAACAACCATTGCAGGAACCGCTTGAAGGAACACTGACACCAAGCCGTTTTGGGAGGATGCAGCAAGTAGTAGATGCCCTACTAGTTGCTAGATTGCCTTTAAAGTATCATGCAGCAGCAGTGCAGATTCCCCAAAGTACGGGTTCTGCCTACTGCATCCTGTCGGAGCGTTTGAGCCCCAAGACAAGAGGAGCCCCTGCTTTCAAGACTTCTGAAGTCTTGGACCCTCAATCCCGGAACCCCGCTTAAAGGATCATGGGACTTAGTAACTAGGGAAATAAGGTAACTATACGCATAGTTACTTATAACCTTCAATTTTACTTACTAAGTCCCATGATCCTTTAAGCAAGTCCCAGGCTCCACTGCATCTGAATAGACCTCATGGGATTGCAGAAAATCCTCCCTTAGCCCCAAAGGCACGGGAGACCCTGGCTATACAGACGCTGCAGCGTGTTCACCAAGAGTGACTTCGTCTCAAAGATTTTGGGAGTGTCTGAGGGGAAGCCCGGTGCTTTGATAGTTAAGACCCTAAATCCCATGATTCGAAACCACAAAATCCTCAAAAAAGCTTAAACCATTCAAAACCCCCATGACCCTAGAACCCACCAAAATCCCAAGCAATGGTCTCATGTTCGCTTGTCAACAGAAGGGGAGTAGACTGTAGCAGCATTGCAGAATACAACACCGTCGAAGGTGGTACACCAGCGAAAACATCCCACAATCTGGTAACCACGGAATTATAGCAGATCCAGATACGGCCTTTACAAGCCAAGGCCAATCATCATGACAACAGATGGGTGGTTGTCAAAATTATGGTCCCTTTTTGGGTCCCTATTTCAATATGGCACCTATTATTTAGGGTACCCAACAAGGGACCCTAGTCTTGACAACCACCCAGATGGTGACACCATGACATGTGCTAAGATGCTGTCTTTACAGCAGTTTGTTGGATCTCTCTCGGCTGCATTCAAACCCTAATCTCTAAACCCTTAAACCGGTGCCCCTGACTTGAAACTCCTAAAGCCTAAACCCAAAACCTAAAGCCTAAGCCCTAAAGCCTAAACCCTATAAGCCCTAAGCCCCAAACCCTAAATAAACAAACTGCGCCAGGCACGGAATCTTCAAAGGCCATGGAGTCAACATTGCTGCTTCGCTTATGTTTTGTGATTCTGGATCGCGGGAATCTTGTTCAAGTCAAAGGGTAAAAGGATGGACCCATTAAGCCCTATAATGGGCCATATAATGGGTATGTAAATGTTAACAGGGTTTGGGGGTATATCATACTGTAACCCCCCCAAAATAGTATCGGTAATTATTTATAGGCCCCTGCATTATGTTTTGTGATTCTCGATCGCGGAAATCTTGTTCAAGCTTACCTTGGGATAGTAGGAAATGGAGGAATGGGGTAACATTATAACTACTATTACTACCATTCTTCCATTCCCGGAGAAAGGAGCGTCATGGCACTCAAAAAAAGGACCCCTAAACCGTGCGTTTGCAGAGTCTGGCGTCTTCCTGAGGATGACATCATGAAGATCCACGAAGAAAGCAGCAACCTGCTGCAGTGAGCAGTTGGGCTTAGGGTTGCCGATGCCATGGGCTTAGGGTTTAGGGTTTTAGTAGGAAGTGGGTTTAGGGTTTAGTAGGAATAAGGCTTAGGGTTCAGGGTTGAGTCAGAATGAGCTTTGCCTCCCATGGACAACTTTAGGGCTTCTCTTGTAGAAGTTGCTATACATATGGGTGGTTGTCAAAATTATGGCCCCTCTTTGGGCACCTTAAATCATAGGTGCCGTACTTTAATAGGAGCCCAAAAAGGGACCCTCATTTTGACAACCACCTATTTGTGGTTTGCCGGTGTTGGCGTTTGTTTTGGCTGTTAATATCGGGGCCATAATAATTACCTATACTATCTTGGTGGTTCCGTATTGTAGTGATAGTATAGGGGGCTCCAAAACCCTATTCTAGTCATTAAGGTCCCTGTATTACGCCGCCTCAATTTGCAAGAGATGCTCTCCAGCATGGCCCAGGAACGATCCTTAGATACGTCAGGAGCTTCGTCATTCAGAACTCCAGGCAAGTGGCCGAGCCCAAGCCTTGAACCCAAGACCCAAAACCCAAAAACCTCATCCCCAACCCTAGGGTTGAGGGTTCAGGGGTTTAGGGGTTTGAGGGTTTAGGGGTTTAGGGTTTAGGGCCTTAAACCCTAAATCTTAAGCCCTAGACCCTGAACCCCAAGCCCGAGGAACCTACTTGAGCAACCCATGGTTCTGTTTGGCAGTCTAAGTGTGAGTGCTATGTGTTCGGTATTTTGACCCAGGTGTTGTTGAACACTCAGCTTCCGAAGCTTTAGGGTTTGCAGTAGTCGTCATCCGCAGCGGCGAAGTTTGTTTCTTCCTTTCAAGCAGGCTTGCTGCTCTGCCAGAGACAAGCAAAGCTTTGTTTGAAGCAACATACCTCACAACAAGAGCTACATAGCAACCCTGTAGAAACTCTAGTGATACGGCACTTCTAGTACCCCTAAGGACTCACTGTGGGTTCCTTATCGAATAAAAGGGACATCGGGTTCTAGTTCAGGAGTGGGAATTCAAGCTCCCCTGATCGAGAAGCCCCACTACTTCGGCTGATGATGTAAATCCTGCATTACCTTAAGGACCCTGAACTATGGGAATTATGGTATACTAGGGGTAATGCAGGATTTAGATCATCAACCGTACCATAGTTTAGTCTTATGGTATATAGCTTAAATGTGAAGTTCCTTAATTTTTCAAGAAGAACAGGATATTCCTGAGAAAGCTGAACTAGGGCCCGAGTCTTGCAGCGTCATGTAGGGTTGTACTTTGTACGTTGTAATAACCCTAAACCCTAAACCCTAGTCCGGGAAGCTTCTGTTTTCGGGATGTCGAAGCGTTTATAGGAAGGGTTACCCAGTAGTGCCCTGTGGCCCTTGTTCTTTTCGAGTTCCTTTGTTAAACTCCTAAACCCCCAAACCCCTAAACCGCTAAACCCTAAACCCCAAACCTCTGAACCCCTAAACCCCTAAACCCCTAAACCCTAAACCTCTAAACCCCTAAACCTCTAAACCCCTAAGCCCTCATTAAGGAGGGGGTTGCCAGGGCTTCCTAGTGAAACAGGGGCGGGGGGAGTTCGGCGACACTAGGGTTTGGGGATCAGGGTCGGGGACTCCTGCTAGGTTTTCTTTGGTTTAGGGTTTAGGGTTTAGGGGGGTTCCTTCAGAATTTTGGGTTTAGGGTGTAGGGTAGGGGTTTAGGGTTTAAGGTTTAGGGTTCCCTTTCGGATTCCTGGGGATCCGAATTAGGGTTCCCTTTTAGGGCTCCTCTTGAATCTTCTGCTCCGGGTTGCTGCTGGGAGTTCCAAAGTCAGGGTTCCTTTTCAGGGCCTCCCTAAACCCTAAACCCCTGGACCCTAAACGCTGAACCCTAAACCCTGAACCCCTGGACCCTAAACTCTGAACCCTAAACCTCAAACCCGAAACTCCTCGACCCGAAGCAGCCCTACCTAGAGGATCATGGGACTTAGTAAGTAGGTTATAACTGCTGTTATAAGTCCCCTAAGTGGGGTTATCCTAATGATAACCTACTTATATCCTTACTTACTAAGTCCCATGAGCCTTTAAGTAGACCCTAAACCCTTAAAGGGAACTCTAATATAGAACCCTATACTACCCTTAAAAGGAATCCTAAACCCAACTTACTAAGTCCCATGAGCCCCCTAAACCCTAAACCCTAAACCCTAAACCCTCAACCCTCAACCCTAAACCCTAAACCCTCAACCCTAGACCCTGCCAGTTTGCTGATGGTGTGGGGCTTTTGGCTCTTCTGGATCCTTCTTGGCGCTGTCTTTGCAGTCTGGCCCTCAGTTGCGTAGATTAAGGGTTTAGGGTTTAGGGTTTAGGGTTTAGGGGGTTTAGGGGGTATAGGGTTTGGGTTCGGGGTTTTGAGCGAAAGTTTTGTTTTTGCCTTTCATTGATTTTGGGAGCGGGCCATCCGGGGCTAGGCGGCTAGGGGTGGGGCTGAGGCTGGGGCTGGTTTGGAATTTGAGCTGGGATCTCTTCCTACACATTTCATGAAGATTCGAAACTAATGAAAATGCAGTACTAAGCGAAACTCACACAACTTCTACTTGTCCTGCTCTTGAGGGTTTAGGGGATTAGGGTTTAGGGTTCAGGGTTTAGGGTGCAGCGTTTAGGTGAGCAGTGCAGAAAGGCTCATGGAGCTTGGCACAGTAGCTAGTAGCTAGGGCTTCGTTGGGTTTTCTATCAGGCAACTGTACTGACAGTTGTTCATGACCTCAACTAAAGTACTTAATGCCCTACTTTCTGCGTCCCCTGATCCCCCAACAAGTGTAACCAGCAAAACCCCAAAGCCAAAACCGCAGACCCTAATCCGTAAACCCAAAACCCCCAACTCAAAACCCGAAGCCCTGAACCCACAACCCGGCGGTCCAATGCACGTCAAAAAAGGCCGTACAACCCTAAACCCATATCCCCTAAACCCTAAACCCCAACCCCCTAACCCTAAACCCTAAACCCTTAATCCCTAAACTAAACCCTAAAACCCAATCCCCTAACCCTAAACCCCGAAACCCCTAATCCCTAAACTAAACCCCGAAGAGCCCTAAGCCGAAATCCCTCAACTCTGGGGAGCCCTGCACACGCAACTGAGTCCTTCACCTGCGAGTGGAGCTTCATCAAGGCACGGAGCGAGGGGGGGGTGCCCTTTAGGGCTTGGGGTGGCCTTCCTTTAAGGGCTCCTTAAAGGGAACTATAGGGTTTAGGGTTCCATAGGGATTTGGGTTGAGGGTTTAGGATGTAGGGGGTTGGTGATATAAATCCTGCATTGATTGATGACCGTAAACTATGGGAATTATGGTATAGTCCTTATTGTGGGTAATGCAGGCTTTTATTATCATCAGCCGTACTATGATCAGTAGGGTGATTACGACTTCTAGAACGATAATGGCTGCGGTTAGTACAAGTGTTCAGAAGATGCCTACTATGAGCCCTAATGCTTACGTTACGGTTCTTCTTCTTATTGCCAACAGTTAAGTCTATTACTTAGCTTCTGTTGTTACTGTTTTTACAGCTATTGTCGTTGGTCTTGCCGTTTTATTATAACTATGATATTGTTATTTTATGTTATTTTGCTACCATTATTACTATTGCTACTAGTAGCATCATTCTTACTGTGAGTAAATATTGCAACTATCGTCGCTGTCATCGTCATGCTCATATTTATTGTATTGTTTTACCACCCTTACTATGCTACTACCCATCACCATTTAGCACAACAAGGGGCGGATGCCAATATGCAAAGCCCAGTCTAAAACCTAAACCCTAAGCTCCCGCCCTAAACCCTAAACCCTAATTTTCGGCGGTGGCGCCTACGCCCTTTGCACGAATCGTGGCCATATTGCGGGCGCACGGCGGTCGCCCTGCTCTAAGCCCTAAACCTGAAGGGCCTTAAGGGCTTTAAGGGCCTTAAACCCCCTAAACCCTAAACCTTCAACCCCCTAAAGTCTGAAACTTAAACCTCCTAAACCCTAAACATCCCTAAACCCAAGTTTTAAACATCCTAAACCCTAAACCCCTGAACCTTAAGCGCCTCGAAGCCCCTAACCCCTAAACCTTCAACCCCCTGAGCCCTAAGCCCTAAACCCCCAAACCAGGGCCTCTACTTTGCCGTGGCGGCCTTGAGTACCGCCGGCTTGCAGTCTGTTTGCGAAGCCGGGAGCTGAGATGTCGCCATGTGTGGGGAGGGCTTTGGGTGTACGGGGTTTATGGTTTAGGGTTCAGCACAGGACGTGAAGGCGGTTTCGTGGGAAATGCCTTACGGGTTCAGGGTTTGGGGCTTAGGGGTAGGGTTGCAGGGTGTGGGCTCTGACTCTACAGTAGGAACTAGTTCCTGAGCCCAAACCATAGACCCTAAGCCCTTTAAACAAGGGCTTTTCATTACGAAAAGTCAAAAGCTGAGGGTGAAACCCCCGTGATCTTCACGGCCTTCTACTGCCTCGTCGGTGCGGGGGGCCCAAGACGACGCTTCCGTGGTTTCGGGTTCAGCGGTTTGGGGTTTATAGTAGAGTTTGGGATGTTTTTGGGATTTCGGGTTTAGGATGCAGGAGTTTGGGATCAGGGTTTAGGATTTTGGGGTGTAGGGCTTTGGGCTGATGATTTCTGACCCGAAACCGCACGTCGCATTGCCGCAACGTGATAGCCCCGTCCCTTGATGGGATGATTGGGATCCCAACAACAGGGCCTTTCTAGAACGCTTGGGGTTTACGATCGGATTTAGTAAGGCCCGTTTACCGAAGAACCTCTACGGTTGCATAGAGTTGTTCTGGGTTTTGATCGGAATAGCATACGCCACTGTTGCACTACGGCTCCCAGGCTCCGATCTGCGAGCCTCCGATTTGCTTGTGCTTACATGGTGGCGGCTAAAGGCTTAGAAGGCCCCTAGTCCTCGTGCAGGCTTCCGGCACGGGTTCCTACAAAGAGATTCCTGAAAAGGGTTTCCAAGTAGTACAGGAGCAGAAGAATAGACACAGACACAGATGACACGGTGGTAAGATGATAAGAAGGTTGCAAGATGCTGAGATCACGCGGTAGGGTTTCGTGCTCAGGGGTTAGGGTTTAGGGTTGACGTTCAGGGTTTACGGTTTAGCAAACAATGACGGGCAAACGCATATTAAGAAGACATCTGTTAAAACGATAGCAACCCGTACAAAAGCTTTTGACCACAAATATGATCAATGTAGCAGACTCCCAAACCTACCCTAAACCCTAAACTCTAACCCCTAAAGGCCCTAAACCCTAAACTCTCAACTCTAAAGACCCTAAACCCTGAACCCCAAATAGCAATGGGGACCGAAGTCCACACCCTTGCCTTTCCACAGCTTAGTAGCCATAGGGGCTTTAGGGTTTTAGGGTTTAGGGTTTAGGGGTCTAGGGTTTGAGGTTCAGGGTCTAGGGATAATGGCAATGTTTTGTAACAGGGATAGAAATCATAAGAGTAAGCTCCATCATAATAAACAAGCAATAACAAGAATAGTCTTATATAACATAATCAGGACAACAAGAAGAACAGCACCAAGAACATTAGTAGCAGCAAAAGTAGTAACAATAATAGCAAGAGTAATGATGTTGATAATGATACTGTTAATGGTACTGACAGTGATAATGACAACAACATAGCAATAGCCTGAACAGTAGTGATCGCTTCCCTGCTGACCGGAAAACAGTCTAGTGTTCCTTGAAGGTATCTTGTAACGGGGTCTATTTTAATAGATCTGTAAGGGTTCTATAACACAGTATTCGGACTTCTGCCTCCTTGTGTCCCCCAGAATAACCATGCCACATTATACCCCTTTCTAATTCTTGACGCTCCGGTACTCATCGCTTAAAGGATTCTTACAGATACGTTGAATGATCCTTGTAAGGAGCCCTTTTTCAATTCTTAAGGCCTTGGATTATGCGCAGTCCGAGGTACCGGCCTTCGGCGTTGCTCTGGGAACTTGTGCGGGCGTACGGATCTCAGGGTTCAGGATTTATGGTTTAAGGTTTTAAGGGTTTGGGTTTAGGGTTCAAGGGGTTTCCTTAAAGCAGGCATGGTTTTTGCCCACAGCGCCGGGGTGCCTGCGTTCGCTGCAGCACCTGCACCTGCACTTGTGTCGGCGGCAGCAGCAGCAGCAGCAGCAGCAGCACCAGCAGTACCGGCAGCACCAGCACTAATGTAGGGGCCTTAAAAATTGGAATGGGGTTTTGGGCCTTGGGGCCCATTATATATGTATGTATGTATGTATGTATGTTTATATATATATATATATATATTGTGTATTTATCAAAAGGATCCCCCCAAAACCCTATTCCAAGAATTAAGGCCCTGCATTACTAGCACGTTGCTAAACCTCACGAAGATGTTCACACCAGCGTGACACATGTCCACCGACAGCGCTCCAAGGTAATCGTCGATCGTTCAGCTGCGAAACAGGCGGAGAGGGTGTCGATGGACGCAACACTTGATAACTCTTCGTTTGATGACGGGGTTCTTGTAAAGGAGCGGATGTTGCAAAATCAAGGAAGAAGAGTTATCCAGTATAGATTCCTATCGTGGTAACTTAGACCAAGTTCCTCAACAAGAACCCAGTAAACATCTTTTAGCGACTGTATGGCCAACCTTGTCAGCAAGAGCAGGCGCTCGAATGGCTTACAGCTTGCATCAGCCATACACTATCAACACTGAAGGGAGAAGGGTGCAAGGATGTCCCTTTTAAACTAGCTTGCCCTCAGCACACCCTGTAGATCGTGGTTGAGATTTCAAGACAGTGTTATCACTTGCCCTGTCCAGAACGAAGAGAAGATGCACATGAAGATCACCGAAACCGAGGCCGATGTGTTTGTGTACATGTGCTTATTGGTCTGCACATACAATCATGGATTCTGTTTCTGGTTGTCTTTGGGAGCCTCTTAGGTTCTTATGCTTGTTCTCAACTGGGGTCCTGTTTAGGGCACGTCCTGCTTTTGGAGGTTGCCGTGAAACTACTTAAAGGATCAAGGGGCTTAGTAACTATGATCATACACAAGGTAACTATATACTTAGAATAACTTATGAGCCCATTTCAGGTACTTATAACCTCACTTACTAAGTCTCCTGATTTTCCAAGCGCATTTGGATCTGTGTGCAGTTGAGCTTCGCCCAGCATGTGCTCAACCACCCTCCGGCCCCTTGAAAAGCATCAGAGTTTTTGGGTTCAGGGTTTTGAATTTGCGGGTTCTGGGGTTTTCGGGTTTGGGGTTCCAGGTTTAGGGTTTCAGGTCTAGGGTGTGGGGTTTGAGGTTCGGGGCGCAGAGTTTGAGGCTTAGAACGTAGGGTTCAAGGCTTTTGGCGTGGGCAGGGTCCTTGCTGTTCTTCGTAAACCTTAAAGCCTTTTGTAGGACGCCAACAACGCACTCCCTAAACCCTAAACCCTAAACCTTAAACCCTAAACCCAAACCACCCGCTCCACCCTCTCCGATGGAGTAAAACAGGGGCCTTGAGAGTTAGAATAGGGCTAGGGAATCCCCGGACGCCCTATTCTAATAATAATAACAATCATTATTATTATGATTAGTATTATTATTAAGGCCCCCTAGTTTGGTGGTCTACTACACCATAATTATAAGAATGAAGAAGGAACCCTATCACCCCCCATTAAGGACGCCAAGATCGCTTTGTCTGACTACATCCCTGTTCTAATCCTTCAGGCCAATGCAGAACCCTATAGAGCCCGTATAACCCTGTAAAGATCCCTTTGAATAAGGATCCTAAACCCTGAGCCCTACAGCCTTAAACCTAAACCCTACCCGCCATATTAAGGACGCCAAGATCGCCTTGTCTGACTACATCGAGATTCAGCTTCTTCGGACCGGTGCCGTCGACCGCGAAACACTGGACGCGGGCTCCTGCTTTGACTTCACTTGCCTTGCCTAGCATCCTCATGTGTGTATATATATATATGTAGACATACATGTATGTATATATATATATATATATATGCACATATACTATGTATGTATGTATGTACGTACGTATGTAGGTATGTATGTATGTATATACTGCGTGTATGGACACATGAACTGTGTAGTGAATGCGATTACGCTCAACAATCTCCGAGTATGGAGTACGTCATCGCTCTACGCATGCAAACACCATAAGCCTAAAGCCCTGACGCCCGAAATCTCAAGCTCTAATCCCTTAATCAAGCCCTAAGCCAGATAACCCTAAACTCCCAGATGCCTGAGACAACCTAAACCCTAAACCCCTAAAGCCTAAACCTCTAAACCCTAAACATCCTTTTGCGCTAAGCACTGAACCCTGAACTTACCCGCCTCTCTCGAGGCCAGCAGGCTTCGCAGAAAAGGCATTCAGAAACATGTGGGCGGTTGTCAAGAATTTGGTCTTTTTTGGGTCCCTGTGATAATACGGCACCTATTAGCTAGGATATCCAAAAAGGGACCCTAATTTTGATAACCACCCATTTAAAAACTCGCTAGCTCGCAGGAGTCACTCAAGGAGGAGTTCGAGAAGCTGGACGAGAACAAAGACGGCCCCTTGCTTCGAGAGATACCGTGCTCCCTTTGCCGGGTTCCTTTCATTCCAAACCCTAAACCCTAAACCCTAAACCCTAAACTCTAAACCGTGGTTCAGGGTTCCTTTAGGGAAGCCTTGATAGGTTTGGGGTTCCGGGTTGTAGGGTTCAAGGTCTGGGGATTAGGGGTTTAGGGTTTAGGGTTTAGGGTTTAGGGGTTTAGGGTTTAGGGTTTAGGGTTTAGGGTTTAGGGTTTACGGTCTAGGGATTAGGGATTAGGGTAATCTAGGGGTCGGAATGGCTATGACGAGTGTTCCTTTATGGTCCTGACATTGTCATACTGTACAACACCGCAAACAACAATCGTAATCATTAAGGCCCCTCGCAGTTTCAAGCGGGCGGGGCTCTGTTGTTTAAGGTATAGTGTTTAGGAAATTAGAGGGACGTCAATGACCAAGCATAAGACCGTACTTGGAGGATCTGGGGACTTAGCAAGCAAGGTTGTAAGTACCTAAACCGGGGTTATAAGTAGTTACAAGTATAGTTACCTTGCTTTTAATCCGAGTTACTAGGCCCCATGATCCTCCAAGTAACCTACTGTATACTGATAAGCTTTTACTGACACATATTCAGACTTTCCGAACAGGGATGAGTGTTCAGTGCCACGCTGCCACCTGGTTGAATCTGTTCATAGGTGACGTACTTGGAAGATCTTGCAATTGGTTTCGGCTGTTCTGCTGATCCGATGCGCTGAGGTTTCCTCACCAGAGACGGCGCCTCAGTTCCTGCTCAAAGTGAGACGTCTTGCTGCTTAGTACTGGCCTGGCCCTGCCGGTTCAAACTGTTCCAAGAAAATCTTACTCAGGATGTGGCGATGAAGGGCCACGAGAGCCTCAGATTTATTTGGCAATGGTAGGTTATAGCAGAGTTGCTGTATAGGGGCCGGAATAATTACCAAAATTAGCCCTGAGTGCTCTTCATCTACATATACAGTATACTAGGCCCCGATAAGTAATGCCCTCATATTGCGATTACTCGTGTATCGGCCACTTGAAGGTGCTGTCGAGTACACCTTTGTGCAGCAGACTTATGAGACTTTGTAGTGCTCAGTGTGAACTTGAAACCGAAATTTCGACAGCCGTAGCGAAACCGAAATTTCGAAAACCGTAACCCTCCACCTTCACATCCGAAGCCCTCAATATCGGGGCCTGGAAAATTACCACTAGTCATCCGTCGGGCTTCGTGTCAAATCACATCAGCATGCCTTAGAAGCTGCCCCCACCCTGTAATAGTGGTATAATAGGAATATAACAGGGCCCTAATATAATCCTTATAGTCACTATTCCAGGGTGTGGGCAGCTTCTAAAGCATACCCTTTCCCTATTCTAAATTATTGAGGCCCCCATACTGCCCTCATAGTAGCCCTTCCAGACCCCTTGACAAGAACCTTGTAAAGGAACCCTATTCTATGTATAGGAACCTTAAACCCCATTCTAATCATGAAAAGTATAGGAATCTTAAACCTGATTCTAACCATAGGAACCTCGTTCGAGTTGTTCCGGCCCCAATACCCAGAGACTCCAAAACCCGTTAGTTAAGGCATATACCGTAAATTATACCAAGATTTCATAAGATTTAGGGTATATTTCTTAGCTAATGGGTTTTGGAGTCTCTGGGAAGTCCTATAGATCCCTTTAAGGATCCCTTAATGAAGGGGGTTTTGGAGTCTCCGGGTACGAGTGAGTCACTCTTCCCGTTCCACCCGGACCGAGGCACAAGGTCATGAAGCACAAGTGCCTCGGAGGTTTAGTTCAGGGGTGTAGGGGTTAGGGGTTTAGGGTCTAGGGGTTTACGGGTTTTGGGTTTACGGGTTTAGGGTTTGGGGTTTAGGGTGTGGGAAGGGGTTTAGGGCTTGGCACATGCCGTGGTTTTGATGGCTAAGCCCACGAACCCTAAAACCAAGATATCTGTTACCCTTGAACCCAGAGCCTCGCGGCTAGTTCTATGTTGCTGTTGCTGTGAGTCTAATAGGAGTCAGTGTATATGTAAACTTAGATGTAGATGATGTAGTTTTGCCTTGTCCAGCCTGACCGCCCAATCCTTACGTTTCATGGCTGTAAGGTTTAGGGTTCAGGGTTTCGGACTCCCTTGGCCTCGTATGGGCAATCAACTAAAATAATCACAAACTCAAATTGACAAGCCACAGTTGAGGGTTTGGCTTTTGGGTTATCAGCTCATACAAACGCAGCTTGGCTGGTTTTTCAAGCATGTGAAACTGTTGATCCAAAATCCTGCATGACTTTGAACATCCCCATGGCTCCCCTGCTACCCCTAATTTCAATATTGCAAGGAGGGAGGGGTTAAAACCACCGCCTGTGCGAATGCCCAAAATCCTGCATGACTCCATGGCGATGCAACATTGAAACTAAGGGGTTGCGGGGAAACGGACGCTGCGAAGTGAGATATGTGCGATGATCTAGGTCATGCAGGGTTTTTGGGCATCAACAGAAGGTCTTCGCAACAAGCAGTGCGTGAACCTGTGCCTTACGAAAACCCATGGAAGCCATGAGGGTAGTGAAGGGTCGGTCCCGGGGTGCCCGAACCATAAGCCCTGAGCCGCCCCAAACCCCAGACCCCAAACCCTTCAACCCCTCAAAGCCCCTAGGCCCTAGACCCCTCGACTCCTAAACCCCTAAACCCCTAAACCCCTAGACCCTTAGACCCCTAAACCCCTAAACTCTAAACCCTTAAACCACTAAAGCCCCTAAAACCCTAAACCCCTAAACTCTAAACCCTTAAGCCACTAACACCCCTAAAACCCCGAAAACCACCTAAACCCCCACATCCCAACCCCCGCCCAACAGAAGCCTCTGACTATCTGAGGCCGAAGGTCACGGAGGCGTCTGTGTGATGCCCTGCAGGAGCCGGCCGGGGCTTGGCTTAGTGTTTGGGGGGTCCAAGAGACTCCAAAACCCCTTGATCTTTAGATTCCCTTAAGGGGTCTATAAGGGATCTATAGGGGTTAGGGGTTCAGGGTTGGGGGTTAGGGTACCCTGAGACTCCAAAACCCCTGTATTAAGGAATATACCTTTATTCAATTTCATTTAAAATCCGAATTTTAATTTCAAGTATATTCCTTAGTTAAGGGGTTTTGGAGTCTCTGGGCCCCTAAACCTCAAACCGTGCGACAGGAGGCATCTCCAGCGTGCTTTGCAAGGGCTGCGCGATGAATCTGAGTGCCTCATCTCACATTTTTCACCGTGTCTTAGCATGTTTTAGCCGGGGTAGAGCCCCGTTCTCGGCTACTTGCGTCTGAGCACCCTTAAATCCTAATGAAACCCGAAAGCCCTAAACCTCAACCCACGTGCGATGACTCAGCAGCCGAAAATTTTGCATCCAAGGCGATGCTATTTGCACCACAGCATGACGATGGTAGCATCTTGTGTAAGTGAGATCGCGCCACCAAGTTGTTCCGACGTTTTGGGGTTTAGAGCTGATCCTGGGCTGCCTGAACCCCAACTTCAAAACACGGTGAACTTCCTTTCCCAGCGTCTGACTCCCCCAGTGAAACTGCAATCATAGAGACCAGTCCCAAATCCAAAGGGTCAAGCCTATTTACGGTGGTGGCGACGACTGCATAGCTTCTGGCTAGATCGGCCACGTCCACGTCAAGCCAAAAGACTCAAGATTGCCCCCTGACCTTTCCATTTAAGTGCGACTCGAAGAGGGTGGCACTTGCGGTGGGCAGTGAGTCAAGCCCCTGTGTAAAAGCTGCTGTGCGTGCGCAAATGCATCATTCCCTGTGCGACAGTTGGCACGCTGCAACCACCCCCGAGCGACCCATTTAAGGATTCCTTAAAGGAACCCTGAGAGGAACCGCAAACCCCCCAAAGCAACAGCAAAGAACAACTGATGATTGGGTTCCTTTTTTGGGTTCCGTGCGGGGTTCCGTGCGGGTTTCATCTGCGTACGGCTAAGAAGTGTCTACAAAGGTTAAGGGGTTCCCTGAGGCTTCAGAACTCTTTCATGGAGGACTATACGTTGAATTATAGAGGGTCGTTACATAGCTTAAGCTCCATGCCGTAGTTAAAGGGGTTTAAGGTATAAGGTTTTGGGCATTTAGGGTTTCTTTTGGTTTAGGGCCTCCCGGACGCTTTGTGGAGCCGCTTTGTTGCGTGAGTGTCGTCGGCAGGAGCTCGAAACAAAGCCCCAACCCGAAAGCCCTCACACCTTCCCTAAACCATAGACTTTAAGAAACAGCCCTAAAGGCCCAAAGCATTAAAGCCGTTGCGCTCTTACACGCTCTCAAAAAGTCCACTGTGCTCCTACACGCTCTCTCAAGCTTTTGCTGCTCGCCGCGAGGGGCTGCCATGATGTTTCGTGACAATTGTGATCTTGTGACGACGATGTCCTTCGCCCCCTTCTGTGCGACGGAGCTCCCTCCGTACTCCATTCAACGCTGGCTTACGAACTCCTGGCAGCCGCCAGAAATGTGTCCGGTCCCTGTAGTGAACCCACTTAGACTTGTCACGTGGAAGTGTTTACGGTTTAGAGTTTGTGCTTCTCCACGGAAGCTGCAGAAGCAGACTGAGCACTCAGCCACGCTGCCCTTCCGCACCCACCCGAGGTTGTGCTAGTTGCGCTGACATCCTTGTGGCCCTAAAGCCGTTAAACCCGAAACTCTAAACTCCTAAACCCAACACCTATATCCCAAACCCTAAAACCCTAAGCCCTAGACCCTGAAGCCGTTAAACCCGCAAGCCCAAACCCTAAACCCCAAACCAAGATAAGCCCGGAAGCCCTGTGAGGCTCTAGATCCTTGAAGCCAAAAGCTTAAACCCCCATAGACCTCTCATGGAACCCTTCTAGAGCCCTTACAGGAGCCCCTCATAGAGCCCTTAAAGGACCCGTTTGACAGTCCGCATGACCGATTGCATAAAGGACCCTTTTGGAACGCCTTATAGAGCCCTTGTATAAGTTTTATGGAACCCACTATAGAGCCCTTATAGAAACCTTATGGAACCCCTTAGAGAGCTCTTGTAGAACCCTTATGGAACCCCTTTATGGAACCCATTATAGAGCCCTTATAGAAACCTTATGGAACCCCTTAGAGAGCCCTTATAGAACCCTTATGGAACCCCTTTATAGGAGCTTATATAGCCCTTATAGAACCCTCATAAAGCCTTAAGGGCCTAGATCCAAAGAAGCTCCGCAGGACCAAGCTCTGCATGTTTTTTCAAAGCGGGCGCTGCAGTCGGAGCCCGAGTGTTCTAGAATCAGGCCTTCAGGGTTTAGGGTACAGGGTATCGGGTTTAGGGTATAGGGTTTAGGGTTTAGGGTGTGTCACAGTGCCACGGCGCGCCCCACCCATGGAGTGGTCGTGGGTCGCGCCGTCTTCGTAACGTGGAACCACCCCACAACCACCCGAAGCAGGACTAGAACGGGTTTTGTGTTCTGCTTCTTCTTATTCGAGTGCTGCACTAGCCGAAAAGACGTTGCAATGTTGCGGAACGTCAAAGGGACATCCGAGTGATGTAGTCACAAAATAGCAGCGACGCCCTCGCTCGTCCTCGCCGGCCGCCAGAGTCGTCCGTCAGCCGTCGTCAGAGTCGTCCGTCAGGGCCCAGTGCCAGGCCTCCAGAAGTGGTCTGCAGCCGTCCGCTGTCCGTGCCAGTCCGGCCAAGAGTGCTGATCATCCAGTCGGCCGCCAGGGTTTTTTCGCCCGGTTCCTGCCAGAGTCGTCGATTCTTCAGAGAGAAGGACGACGAAGTGTGCCGCCTGGGTCGTTTAAGGCTCTGGAGTGATAGCGCCCGGTCGCCAGACGATGGTGGCTTTTTGCTTTGCCATTTAACCTATTTTTTGAGAGAGAAGACGACAAACTGACAAACCGTCCCCGGCCAGATTGGCTTGCTGAGCTCCTGTGTGGCGCCAGACCTTGGTGGCTGTTTACCTTGCCTGTTCCTCACAGAGAAGGACGACGAACCGTCCACACCAGAAAAAGCTTGTTTCGCGTCTATGCTTCAAAGAGAAGGACGACGAACGGCCCTGCAGAGTTGTCCGCAAAGCTCTTTTTGGAGTAACTGGATCGTCCACGAGTCCTTCAAGGGGTCGTCCGCCGTCACCGCCAGGGTCACACCGCTGCCCCGCCAGGGTCGCTTGGTCAGGGTCGCCGTCCCCGCCAGGGTCCGTATTTTTTGAGCGTTTAAACCGTCTCCGGCCAGATTGGCCCGCTGAGCTCCTGTGTGGCGCCGGGTGGCCAGACTTTGGTCGCTGTTTGCCTGGCCTGTTCCTCAGAGGGAAGGACGACGAACCGTCCACACCAGAAAAAGCTTGTTTTGCGTCTTTACTTCAAAGAGAAGGACGACGAACGGGCCCCGCAGGTTGTCCGCAAAGCTCTTTTTGGAGGAACTGGGTCCCCGCAGGGTCACCCCGCTGTCCCCGCCAGGGTCGCTTGGTCAGGGTCGCCGTCCCCGCCAAGGTCCTTACGCCGTCCTTGCCAGGGTCGTCCGCCGTCCCCGCCACGATCGCCCGCCGTCCCCGCCAGGGTCGTCCGCCGTCCTCCAGAATCGTCTGCCAAGCTGTTTCTGGCTTTTTTAGTTGCTGTCAAAGCCAAGTGCCCGCCAGAGTGTCCGACGTCCCCGTTAGGGTTGCCCGCCGTCCCCGCCAGGGTCGTCCGTCTGCCAAACTGTTTTTGGCCTTTTCGTGCCTGTCAAAGTCATCGCCAAGTCCCCACCAGAGTTGTCCGCCGTCCCCGCAGGGTCACCCGCCGTCCCGTCCGCCATCCCCTCCAGAGTCGTCTGCCAAGCTGTTTTTGGCTTTTTCAGTCCCTGTCAGAGTCGCCAAGTCCCCGCCAGAGTCGTCCGCCGTCCCCGCCAGGGTCGCCCGCCGTCCGCGCCAGGGTCGTCCGCCGTCCCCCTCCAGAGTCGTCTGCCAAGCTGTTTTTGGCCTTTTTAGTTGCTGTCACAGCAGAGTCGTCCGCCGTCCCCGCCAGGGTTCGCCAGGGTCGCGCGCCGTCCCCGCCAAAGTCGTCCGTCCACCAAGTCCCCGCCAGGGTCGTCAGCCGTCCCCGTCAGAGGGCTCGCCATCCCCGCCAGGGTCGCTCGTCAAGCTCTTTCTACCAGGCCCCGTCCCCGCCAGGGTTCTCGTGCTGGGAGATAAAGCGCCATCCCCTCCAGAGTCGCTTTTTCAGTCCCTGTCAGAGTCGCCAAGTCCCCGCCAGAGTCGTCCGCCGTCCCCACCAGGGTCGCCCGCCGTCCCCGCCAGGGTCGCCCGCCGTCCCCCTCCAGAGTCGTCTGCCAAGCTGTTTTTGGCCCTTTTGCTGTCACAGCAGAGTCGTCCAGGGTTGCCCGCCGTCCCTGCCAGGGTCGCGCGCCGTCCCCGCCAAAGTCGTCCGTCCACCAAGTCCCCGCCAGGGTCGTCAGCCGTCCCCGCCAGAGTCGCCCGCCATACCCGCCAGGGTCGCTCGTCAAGCTCTTTCTACCAGGTCCCGTCCCCGCCAGGGTTCTCGCGCTGGGAGATAAGGGTACCCAATTTTACTATTGTGCCCCATGGCTAGCAGTGCCAAATCAGGTCTGGTAGACTCGATCTGCTTGGCCAAGCAAGCAGATCTCGAAGCGGTAGCGTTCAGTGGTACCGGCCGCCGCCGGGCGCGGGCGGCCAATGGCTTAGGGTTTAGGGTATAGGGTGTACGGTTTAGGGTAAAGGGTTTAGGGTATAGGGTTTAGGGTATAGGGTATAGGGTATAGGGTGTACGGTTGAGGGTACAGGGTTTAGGGTATACAAGGGCTCTGTAAGAGTTCTATCAGGGCTGCTGTAAGGGCTCTACAAGGGTTCTAGAAGGGTTCCATAAGGGTTCTACAACGGCAGATATGAGGGTTCTACAAGGGTGCCTGAACCCAGAGACTCCAGAAC